CCTCTTCGATATTTCCAGTGGCTGCTTTCAGTTTATTCATTAATCTATTCTTATGTAAAATTCTCGCACTTTCTTCTTCGAACAGATGAAGTTTTAGATGTTTATGCTCCTTATGAATTTGCCTTGTTTGTTTGTACTTCCGATGATTGAGAATGTGTCGACAGAATTTAAATCCACTTTCAACCAGAACTGAAACAATCCTTTTCAGGACTTGAACCCAGGACAGTTTATTAGTGTTGAAGCCTATGTTTCTGTAATCTCCTCTTCGAAGCAAAAAAATCTGATCCTGGCGCCGTTGTTCTGTCTCGCTTAGATTCGGAGTCAAAAGAACCACCCTTGCTGGAAATCGAACTCAAGACGCTTTTCCCAGAGTTCTCAACTTCCTGTGTTCGCTCATTGATCAAAATGCATAATCACGCCACGTTTTTCCTTCACGGGCTGTAAGCGAACGAGCGAAGGAACACGTCAACTCCCAATCTCGAGTTTTCACATGACCAATAGATTCCGCAGAATTTACTAAGGAGAAATACGACAGTTTCTTACAAATTCGTCTTTTCGATCTCAGGACAGTTTTTGGGTTTGTGACCTTAGTCAATGAAGTATTTTCTCCTGAACAAACAAAATTTGCCTTAGCGCCATTCTTCCCTAATGCCTAATATCCGAACAAAAGAAAACATCTTTGCCAGATTTCGAAGGAAGTGAACATTTTTCTGTCCCCCAAAGGCGATGGGTTCAAGTGCACCCGGGCCCCTGAAAAATCATCTTTAAAATTAGTTAAGTGGAATTTGACCAAATTATAACTTAGAGTAATTCTGTTTGTATTTCTTTCAACTGCCAACAATATGTAAATATGGACCGACAATGGTCAGCTTTTATATGAACTCCTGCGTGCAATAGAATGTAAGAGACGTTATTGGTACTTTAAACCACGCCTGCAACAATATTGACTGAGCATGCCATAAGGCTCTTTTTCATTTCTTATACATGTCATATAAAACGTAATGCGCCTAATTGTTACGTCATTTGTTTACTCGGCATTGTTGTGTTACATTATTGCCGTCAACAATCGGGTTTCTCTATTGTGGAAAGAACTGAGCTGTGAATCGCTTGTAGAAGAAGTGCGTCGTGGAACAGATAATTTTGTGCTGTTAAAAATCTTTCAGAATTACCCAAGAATATTTCTTATACGATTCGAGGGATTTGTGATACTGTCCTCAACTCTCTTCATTTTACTTTTTAATCATTTGTTCTTTCTTTCCGGAGGACATCCAATTCTTTTCCTCTTGAACAAAGGAAGAGGTAAGTTCGTCCATGTTTTATTATTACTTTGAGAGTGAGCAGTGCGCTGAGACAGAGTCTTTTAGTCAGGTTTGTCATCGCTGCAAATGACGTATGTAAATCTTTGAACGTATTTAGCATAAACATTGTCTCCTTTAAGGGCACGTTCTCAATACAGGAAATGATCTAGATAGGTTTTCTTGATGGATGATCTAGCTTGGTTATTATTTCCTTGTAATTCTTCAGCGTTTTACATTAATATATTTTTTCCTATGTGGATTATTTGCGTTTATTTATATTCATTTATTTTGCTTTGTGTACAATATTGTTTCTATTTTGGGTTTGCCTGTATTTGGCTGTTATATTTAATACTGTACATGTACAAGTTAGTTAATCTGTTTGTGTACTATTTTTTATTATTATTTTATTATTATTGTATGTATTATTAGTGATTGCCTGTCATCGGCTTCTTGCTGTTGGCAAACAATTACATAATTTAATTGAATTTAATTACTATGCGCCCAACTGGCGACCGTGAAGAGATAAAAATTATCCCAGAGGCCGGGAGTTCGTACGGTCATAGGATTATGACAGGGGTTAACCAAAATACAAAATAAAAGTACTCTCAATTTACCAACATGTATTTAAAAATGTATATATATAAATTCAAAAGGAGAATAAACTGACACAAATCCCTCAAACCTCCAAGGCTCAGGCTCCGGTAGGGGTCTCGACCAGTAACGTCAAAACAACCCAAAAATCAGACTATCTGTCTCCAAGCTCTCTCTCTCTCTCTCTTCGAGTCGTTCTTTGCACGGCGGACACATACAGAATGTCCGCCCTGCTGGCTCATCAGGGCCTCGAAGCCAGCGGCTCCAAAGAACGTCAAGAGGGGGAGATATGCCTCTTCGAGCCATGAGGCATGGCTCAACTATTGATAATTACACTTACATTTCTTCATTTACATTTACGAGCTTCTGTAAGAAAATCAGGCTACTCTTCTTTCTAAGACAAATTCAATTAATATTAGATTGACTTCTGTTTATTAACATCTTCAAAATATTCCGGTAAGAAATTAACATTTTACAATTTTGAAGACATGAAACGTGTTTAGTAGCCCAGAATCTTAATAAAAAATATATGAAGAAGTGGGGCATACATTCTGAATAATAATTCTGACACTTAAATTTCTTGATAAATCGACATTTTTAAAGCGTTGTAGGGAAGTGTGAAAAAAAATTTATTTCTCTTTTATCAGCCTAATTATCGAGAAATATCCCTACAAAATTGAATCCAAAATTCTTCTGCAGACGTGACTCCATATTCCAGTGGAATTATTGGGAACCATCAGAGTGGCTTCCGTCCTAATAGATGTGCAACTGATCAGATGTTCTCATTCGCCAAATGCTAGAGAACAGGTCGGAGGTAAAGATTTGTCCGATATATTTCCTAATCAGAATTGCCTGAAAGAGGGAGATTCTCTATCGCCGCTGCTTTTTAATTTTGCCTTAGAACATGACATTAGAAATGCCCAAGAAAATCAGGGCGATTTCGAATTGAAAGGGACACATAAGCTGATGGTCTCTGCTGATGATATTAATCTGTTGGCCGATAATATAAATACTATAAGAGCCAACGTAGAAACACACTTACGGGCTAGAAGGGATGTTGGTCTAGAAATAAAATCAGAAAGACAAACTATATGATAATATCTCGGCATCAGAATTCAGACAAAACCAGAATATAAGGATAGGTAATCAGGCGTTCGAAAACGTGACAAAATTTATGTAATTGGGGACGACACTAACAAGTCAGAATGACACCGAGTGGTAGTGTGGTTCGACGTTATGAAAAGATTGCTGTCATTCAGCCAAAATCTGTTGTCCTCCCGTCTCACATAAAAATATGACTACAGATTAAAATGAATAATAATAATAATAATAATAATAATAATAATTCGTGACGTAACAGGCCTCTGAGAGACAAAGCCGACTAGCTGGCTGCTGGCCTCACGTTCACATGCCTAAGCAGAGGCGAACGATCATCCAACCAGATACAGGGTGGTGAGCACGACGAACCCCCAGTCATTGCTTGTTTTCATGACCGGATTACGGTACCCATTGTAATTCTGTCAGTTGTGCTGTTTGAGTGCGAAACTTGGTCTTTCACTTTGAGGGAGGAACATAGATTGAGGGTCTTTGAGAACAGACTCTTGATGAGGATGTTTGGACCTAAAGTGGAGGAAGACGGTCACGGAGAAAATTGCATAATGATGAGCTTCACGGCCTATAGTCCTCACCTGATGTTGTTATGCTGATTAACTCGAAGAGGATGAGATGGGCAGCGCATGTGGCAGGCATGGGGGGAAGGGTGTTTACAATGTATTGGTCTGGTGGCCTGAAGGGAGGAGACCGCTCGGAAGACCTAGGCGTAGATGGAAGGATAATTTTAAGATTGACCTTAGGGAGATAGGAATTGGATGCAGCTGGCTAATGATAGAGTCCAGTGGCGGGACTTTGTTAACACGGTGATGAGCCTTTTAGTTCAGTAAAGAAAGTGGTCTATTTTTTGATAAGACTAATATACAATCGAGTTTTAAAAGAATGTCCTGCACTTTACAGCGTGTGGGTAGAGTTATGTTGGCCTAATGTACGTATGCAGTAGAATAACGTACAGCTTTTATGACTGTTCCCAACTGTAATTCTCACGTTCAATTTATAAATTTAAATTAAGTATTGTGTTTGTAGTGTATAAAGAGTGAGTCAGAAGTATGTTTACAAACTTCGTGTGCTTGTTCGAGGATCAAGAATAAGAAAAAAAGTTCCTATGAACATTTGGTCGCAAATGTTTCATTTTAGACATAATAGCAAAAAATAAGTTTCAATGAATTGATTTTATATCAAAGTGAATCCAGCTTCCAACACAGATTTTCAATTAACGTTTGGACAGGAATTGTTGGCGACATGCTTATTGGTCCACACATGCTTCCATCGCGTCTAAGAGGACCTTGATAACGGTAATTCTTAAGAAGACACTTGTCACGTCTCCTTGAAGATGTACCACTGAATACAAGAAGACAAATGTACGACAGAGCCTCAGTACACTTCTCCCATCGCGTCAGATATCATCTCAATGAACAGTACACTCAGCGATGGATTAGGCGTGGTGGCCCAATAGCATGGCCACCGAGGTCACCGGACCTGACTCCATTGGACTTTTATCTGTGGGGTAACTTGAAGTCCGTCGTTTATGCAATATCCATAGAAAATATTGACGACCTATGGCAACTGTGCAGAATGCATGCCAGATGATTCGAGGAAATTCTGGTGTGTACAAACGAATCCGTCAGTCTTGTGTACGTCGTGCTCGTGCATGTGTGGAGAATGAGGGAACAACCTTAGAGCATCTGTTATAAAGAAACATCCCTGTCCTTATACTTGGCAATAAAGGCATACATTGAAAATTATTTTTGGATATTATTTCTAAAACAAACCTTTTGCGACTCTATGTCCATAGGATCATTTTTTCTTGTTTTTGTTCCTGGAACACTCACACGAAGTTTGTAAACATACTTCTGACTCACCCTGTATATATCTCTGACTTATGTAGGTATGTACTTAATCATGTAAGCTCTTAAGCTCTTTTAGTTCTGCAGTATTTTACATACTCGATAATTTTATGGTTACGAAAAGGCGTAGCCTTCTTTTATCCAAGATATATTTGTTAAATGTCTGGTTCTGAATCAAAGATCACATAATTTCTATGGCATATTTTTTCGTAATTTCTTAAATCGGTTCACATGAGTAGAAGCATCTAAGACTTTAAAGATTACATTGCTGTTTTATACTTAAAGTCTACGTAGTTTACTTACCAGAATAATTAACGTTCTGCCAGTAATGACAAACAGGCGGCATGACTTAATATTGCTTAAGCAAGTCACATTTAGAGCGTTGCCATTTTGCATTGAATCTCAACAGGCATTTCTATAACTAAGAATCAAACTGACTCTGTGGGCTTAAGTCCTGTTTTAGAATGTAATAGTATCCCAAGTGATTAAATGTCTCGCCTTTTATGAAACATGAAGTTACCCTTCCGTATTTACAAGACGACGCCTCTAAACCATATCCTCAAGCCACACCGTCATTCCCAAATTCTCTAATCTCCATTTTAATATTATCCCACCAAAACATTGGACTATCAAGTGGCCTCTTCCTTTCAGGTTTTCCGATTAAAATATCGCTTTTCTTTTCTCTGCCACGTTAACTATGTGCCCCGCCAATCCCAACACCTTTAATCTCATCAGCCTTCAATTAATTATTTATTGAATAGAACTGTAAAGTTCCATATTATGCATTTCTCACCATTATCTTGTTAGTTACACTGTCGAAGGACCAAATTTTCTTCTCAGTAACGTGTTCCCTCACATTCACTCTCAGTTGATGTGCACACGTGTCAGTATGAAGAAAAACCTGGACTGTTTTTCAGGAGATGGAGTTAAGCGAACATTGCAGCTGTTCTCATCATGACGGCAGGTGCGTGTGCACCGAAAAATTGGTCTCTCTGAATGAGTTGAGAGAGGAGAATCTTCTATGTGACGCGGTGTTGAGGTTGGAAGATGGCGGCGTTTTTCCTGTCCACAGAGTGATTTTCTCGATGCGTAGCGAATATTTCAGGTTTGTTTATTTACTGATGTAGTTGTTAACGCGTGAAATAAGGACATAACAGACGTCAATTAGTATGTAAAATATTAAATTCTCTTTGATGAAGAAAACTGTATTTTTATCTTTGGTAATTTGTTTATGGCCATGAAATCTCATGGCGGTGATTAAGAAGATTAATTTTTTCTGGACGTTGCGGCGTTGAAACCAGGTGGTGTTTCAGACGTACTTGCTGCCTTCTTTCCTTGATAACAGAGGCAGTAGGCACCTCTGAAACGTCCGATAATTTCTACGAGAGTACACAATGCAACATCCCAGAAGCCCATTGTTTTTGCACTAATTTTTAAGTGCAGATGCAGCAAGGTGAGAGTCAATCGATCTGGAGAGAGAAATTTAATCCATTTCCAAATGACCTTGGTATTAATGTACAAAGACGACGGACAAATTCCAAGAGGAAGTTGAAAACAGACCTTTGTCACGCCATTGTCCAGAACATTGAAAGCTGCTCTGTGTTTTTCTGTTTGACAAAAACTTCGTGAGAAATTTTTCAGTTGTTAAGGAGAGAATCGAACGTAGGCTCGTTACAAAATTTGGTGACCTTAATGCCGGTAAGTTACTCCGTTTTTCGCCTTCTTCTTTTCACGTATTAGGATGTTTTTAGCCTCCCCGCCGTCGGATGTGGCTGCATCTTGTCTTTGAGCGTCTGTCTTCACCCCTTCCACCTGCGTCTTTACTGCCTTCAATCAAATTGTTGGCCTCAGTTTTCTGGAGGAATTTCTTATTTCTCCTTATGAAATTGCGCTAGAATTGGAATTTATTTATATTTTATGTATTCAGATTTTGAAACGGGATGTGCGCATTATGATAATATATTGATACTCTTTTCTTCGTGGTAAAGCACATCAGGCAAACATTTTCAATAGGCTCAGACAACATCCCCACAAAGAATTTGTGCATACGTTATTTATGCTTTTGTATTGAATAAAGATACCATTTGTTCTCGAAAACGAGAAATGATTTAAAACTATGAACAATTGTTTATGTTTTCCAAAAGTCTTGTTACAAGCTGTGCCCCTCTTCCACTATTTCGATAAGACGTAGAAACATCGGCTTATTTCTTAAGTCGTTTTTCGGGAACTGATTTTTTGTCAGAACAAATAGATTTTAGAGGCTCTGGTTTCAAAATACGAACTGGTCAGTCAGTGCAATCTACAGCCTGTGATTGGTTTCTAAGGAACCAGATAACCACTCTGTGGAACAAATATTCACTGTTTGCTGCTTTACGCTGCATTCTTGATGAGTTATTTTCTACTATTGACACAAATGGTATTATGTGAACATCTGAATTGTAAATTATTTTCTGTTAAGATTACTCATGCTCTTCAACATAAAAATTCGTCCACCATGTTGACAAAAGGAAACTTGTCTTTGGCTAAGTAAGTTATAAACTTTAAGTGCATCACTGTATAAAATTTCTGCTCGCCGTTTCTCCAAATCGATTATTGCTTCGTGACGTTTCAGGAACCTCTTCACCTCAACACTGAACGCCATTAAGAAGACTGACATTCTACTTCACGGAATTAGCTCGGACATGTTGACGCTGGTTTTGGATTATGTTTATTTGTGTAAGGTGGACATCCACTGCGACAACGCGCGTCAGCTGCTTGGGACGGCTGACTATTTGTGGTTACCAGCCGTTACTGAGCTCTGCTGCGACTTCCTCAAGGACACGCTGGACCTCGACAACTGTATCGGCATCTTGCGATTCGCAAGGTAATTGACGTTCATTTGTCATTTGCTGTGACGCGAGTCTTCGTTGCTGCAGCGAAGAGCTCCACTCAGAGAGCAGCCAAGTGCCAGGTCAGAGATTAAAGCCTCTGGCTGAGTACTGGTCAAATTATAAAGGGTTGTAGGTCAGGGCTTTTGGCTGGTTATGATTATGCTTCTGATTTAAGCATTCCTATTTAACTGCATATGTTTTTATCGTCATTATGACTAGCAGATGACTAATTCCATCATGTAGAACGTGAATCACGACCTATTCCTCTCGAATTCCTTTCCTTCTATCTATCTTTCTCTGCGGCATTTCTTAATTCTTACATAATCCTCCCAATATAAAAACCAACATTCAACCCACATCTTTCTGCATACAGTAAAACTTCTTGTAACCGAGCCTCGATTATCCGATTCCCACATTAAGCGACAGAATTTCAACCAGGTCGGTTGTGATCGGTTTCCACCGGCGGAATTCTTTAAAGCGATGTCCATTTGGTACAGTTCATTGATCTAACCTCAAACCAAGATTTTGCTGATTATTATGAACACTTCAAGGCATTTAGAGAATTGGTTGTTATCGGGCAAAGACAAAAAAACCCTGCAGGTTCCCATAGAAGCTGAACCCCTACTCCTTCTTGTTCAGGACAATACAGCAAGCAAATGAACTGACATCGGCAGAATCACACCAGAACCGCCACTTCATGCGATGGACAGAATGACTAACACATTCCCTATTTCAATACAGAAACTTCCTCTAACAGCGCTCACGAGTGACTTTTGCCGTCGGCTTGTGCGTGCGAAACTCCCGCGTTATCCGCTGACGAGGAAAATCTGTATTGAATCTCTACTTATGTTTTCATATCCATGACCACGTTCCCCTCTCCCTTGACCATTCGACTTATCGGCTTATCCGACCGATGGTCCCCCCATATAATCCGGTTAAACGAGGTTTCACTGGATTAACACA